CTTGCTTAAATACCCTTGAGCCTCCTAGACCCTTTTTTGGGTTGTTGGTGACTCCCCAGCATGGTGTGCCCAGGGTCCCCAGGGAATTAGCCCAACTATTCAGAATTCTTCTTTGGGTCCCCAGGCCCTTACTTTCCCTTGTTGCACTTTCTCTACTGGGACTTTGCCTAGGCCTAATTAATCTCTGGAGCTAAAGAGAGGCGAGCTCAGAACATCTTAGCAAATGTGGTTGCACATTTTCTGAGCTAAGTAAGCTAGGCTGATTGCAATTGGAGCCAGCAGCAGAAGGGCAAGAAGGGGCCACGGGGGCAGGAGGGGGTTTTGGGGGCAGAAAGGTGGGAGTGGTGAGCAGCTGGGCAACCATGCCGGTGCTGGGGGAGTTGCCCCAGGAGCTGCAACGTCGGCTAGCTGAGCAGAGGAGTAAGTGGGCAACAGGTGGGACAGCCATGGCTGAGTCTGTGGTACATTCAGCTGTGATGGGCTTACTGCTCATGACCAGTGAGGTAGGGAGACTAGAATACCTAGTGAGGGGAATAGGGTAGAGTTTGGGGATTAAACATGCATGGGATGGGCAGGCAGTGGGCAGCATGCTGTCGAAAGGTTAAAGTGCTTGGTAGGATATATAAGAACTTGCCGATTGTATTCTGACCTTCCAGGCTCATCACACACTGCTTCTGGGCTCTGGTCATGTTGGCCTTCGAAACTTGGGAAACACGGTGAGAGCCATTCTCCTGTCTTTCCTCTCTAAAAGGAATGTGAAATGGTGCTGGGGGTGGGGAAAACCCGTGAGCTTGGGGAAGGCATGTGGAAGGAGAGCTCTGAGGCTCTTCTAAGGCTTCCTGGGTAGTGGTCTGGAGAGATAACAGCAGTGTCCCTACTGCTCTCCAGTGCTTCCTGAATGCTGTGCTGCAGTGTCTGAGCAGCACTCGACCTCTTCGGGACTTCTGTCTTAGAAGGGACTTCCGGCAAGAGGTGCCTGGAGGAGGCCGAGCCCAAGAGCTCACTGAAGGTGGGGCAACAACTCCTGCTCCCTCTGTTCAAGTCCCTTTTTCCCCAACCACTTGCAGGTCCATCTGCCAGTACTGGTGGCCCCCAACCCTTAAATCTGGCAGTTGTATCTACTTTTCCCAGTGCCTACTTTCCTAAAGGTTATTTTCTGCCCTCTGAGCCACATCTTGCTTGCCTCTTCCAGACATTAACCTTTGTTTCCCTTCCCTACTCCCATCCTAACAGCCTTTGCAGATGTGATTGGTGCCCTCTGGCACCCTGACTCCTGCGAAGCTGTGAATCCTACTCGATTCCGAGCTGTCTTCCAGAAATATGTTCCCTCCTTCTCTGGATACAGGTGGGAGAGCTGGAGGCTATGGGATTTCTCTCTGGCCATGTCTGGGGGTAGGGCCAAGCAAGGGCCCTGGCAGCATTGTTCTGAGCTTTGAGATGTTCTTCATCCAGGAAGTGGGGACCGGTATCTGGGCAGGGAATAGTGTCTGTGGACTAGGAGGGGAGTCAGTTGCCCATACTCTTTGTCTGGCTGTAGCCAGCAGGATGCCCAAGAGTTCCTGAAGCTCCTCATGGAGCGGCTACACCTTGAAATCAACCGCCGAGGCCGCCGGGCTCCACCAATCCTTGCCAATGGTCCAGTTCCCTCTCCACCCCGCCGAGGAGGGGCTCTGCTAGAAGAACCTGAGTTAAGGTAAGGGTCGTTCCCTCTACCTCCTCTCCCCAGTAGTTTATCAGCAGCATTTACACTTCATAGAACTGAACTAGTCAAGATGAAAGATGTAGGGTCCAGGAAAACCCTTTAGTATAGAAAATAGTGTGAGAAGCAGCGTAGAAGTAGAAGGAAGGAAGAGGGGGAGTCTAAGGGAGCAGATGGAGGCAGAAGATCATGCTAGGGATGTCACCAAATTGAAGAAGGGGATAATTAATTTACAGGTTGAGGAAGACAGCATATTCTTCCCTTGTGTACAATCCTTCCTTTTCCTCTCACCTCAGATTTCCCCAGAAAGTTCATTGAGGCATTATTCCTTTGACTTTTCCTTGAAATATAGGGAAGAAGCAGGGGTGTGGGTGGGGTGTAGGGCTCTGTGGGTCGTTTCAGTGGGTGTTGGGGTGCCCAGTGTTCTTGCTGTCTCATGGATGCTCCCCACTTCCTTTGATCTGTGGTAGTGATGATGACCGAGCCAACCTAATGTGGAAACGTTACCTGGAGCGAGAGGACAGCAAGATTGTGGGTATGGAATGGGGCAAAGCAATGAGGGAAAATTAGTGTGTGAGGGGGGTACAGGCTTGGGGGGAAAATTGATACTATCGAGGGGTATGGGAAGAAGACTGGATGATGCAAATGTGAAGCTGTGTGAAGAGTTGATTAGGAGTGTTGGTAGTGGGAAAGGAAGGGTCAGGCAAAGGGGCAGAAAGAGATAGAAATCCGAGAAATCATCTCATAACATCCAACAATGACCTTTTCTCCTGTCCCTGTGCTTCTGTCTAGACCTGTTTGTGGGCCAGTTGAAAAGTTGTCTCAAGTGCCAGGCCTGTGGGTATCGCTCCACGACCTTCGAGGTTTTTTGTGACCTGTCCCTGCCCATCCCCAAGGTGGGATTCCAGAGGATTCCGGGGTGGACAGGACAGGGGCTCTGTGACCCAAGCCTACCCACCCCCAGAGTGAGGGCGGGAACCCTGTGGGTTTCTGGAGCAGAACTGAAGCCTGGATTGATTGAGAAGAGTTGGAAAAGGAAATTCAGAACATGTTGACCTTTCTTCCCCTTTTCCCCCAGAAAGGATTTGCTGGGGGCAAAGTGTCTCTGCGGGATTGTTTCAACCTTTTCACTAAGGAAGAAGAGCTAGAGTCGGAGAATGCCCCAGTATGTGGAGGTTCACAAGGGATATAGTAAGGGTGGGAGACCTGGGGGGAGGGGGACTCCATGTGGATAAAATGGATTGCATGATGCCTTAATATGGGGAATAATATTTATGTATCTGGGTTTGTGTTGGAGTCTCAGATATGTTCTAGTACTCCTAGAGCAAAGGGGAGAAGCCGAGAGGATCCAGCCGTAATGAAGTGCATACGAAATTTATATGTGGATTGGAGTGTCAGAAAAGCCAGTTGAAGTTAGGAGCGCATTAACCTAACACTGTTTGCCATTTATTCAGGTGTGTGATCGATGTCGGCAGAAAACTCGAAGTACCAAAAAGTTGACAGTACAAAGATTCCCTCGAATCCTCGTGCTCCATATCCTAATCTTCAGATTCTTACTTCTCTTAGGATACCTCCCATACATTCTCTTTCCTCACCCTCCATGTTTCCAGAGAATTGAATTTTCCTTAGGAAAAGCCTGCCACACCCTTTTCCACAAGCTACTCCCAGTGTTTTGGGAGTGGGGAGAGGACAGCTTTCAGGACAGAAGTCCCCCTCAGAGGCCCACTGCCTCCCAAATGCTCCTTAACCAGGGCTTAGATCTGAATCGCTTTTCTGCCTCCCGAGGCTCCATCAAGAAGAGTTCAGTAGGTGTAGACTTTCCACTGCAGCGACTGAGCCTAGGGGACTTTGCCAGTGACAAAGCCGGTGAGTCTGGTGGGGAAAGTCCTAAGGAGCCAAAGGAGTGGGGGCACAGCTCTGATTGTAGAACTTGATCATCTCCAACCCCGCAGGAAGTCCTGTATACCAGCTGTATGCCCTTTGCAACCACTCAGGCAGCGTCCACTATGGCCACTACACAGCCCTGTGCAGGTGCCAGACTGGTTGGCATGTCTACAATGACTCTCGGTGAGAACAGCCTCCTATTTACATCTTGCCCCATTCCCACTCAGCCCTGACACCCTCCCCTTCTGTGAAGTCCCAGGAGAGCAGAGTGCCAGGTGAAAGGAGAGGCGGAGGTCTTGCCTGATCTCTTCCTGGATGCTCTGAGGTTCGGTCTTGAGGGAGAAGGGAGTAAACAGTAATGACCACAACCCTTTCCCGATCTCCCTTTTTCCTAGTGTCTCCCCTGTCAGTGAAAACCAGGTGGCATCCAGCGAGGGCTACGTGCTGTTCTACCAACTGATGCAGGAGCCACCCCGGTGCCTGTGACACCCTCTCTAAGCCCTGGCACCTGTGAAGCCCTTTAAACACCCTTAAGCCCCAGGCTCCCCGTTTACCTCAGAGACGTCTATTTTTGTGTCTTTTTAATCGGGGAGGGGGGAGGGGGTGGTTGTAGCTCCATTATTTTTTTTATTAAAAAATACCCTTCCACCTGGAGGCTCCCTTGTCTCCCAGCCCCATGTACAGAGCTCACCAAGCCCCTGCCCGTGTACAGCCCCCAGACCCCCTGCAATATCACTTTTTTGTGAATAAATTTATTAAGAAAAAATGATGTGCTTATTTGTATTTTTGCTTAGGGAGTGACAGAAAACTGGGCCTAATTGGAGTCTTCCTGGGACCCAAGTTCCCTCTCTAATAGGTGGGGGCGCTCTCAGATCCAAGGGGGAAGGTTTCGGAGATGGTGCTGGACCCGGACCTGTGCCCCCCAGCAGTGTACATTAAGCACTGGGAGGAAAAAGAGGGAAGGCATACTTGAGGCTGCGTGCAGGCTCTGGGGCGTCTGGTTTGGTCGGCGATGGGGGATGCCGCTGTTGACAAACACTGGGTACGTTGCCGGGTGGCCCTAGCTCCCGTAGGCCCGGTCTGTTGCTAACATCAAGGAGCTGTTTATGGAGCCACCTCCCAGTGGACTGGCTTCCAGTGTCCCTATCTATTCTCCCTACGACCAAAGCTCCTGGGGCCTTCCCTCTAGGGTTGTCACCCTAGCTGGACCTGGGAAACTTGTGCTGGGGAACGCTAACTCCAGCATTAAGCGCTCGTCGCCTCGGTCCTGAGGAGGGCAGTGCCGGGTAGGGCCGCTCACTCCCAGCTCGGAGCTGACGCGGTTAACCTCAAGCTCTTACAGCTGCCGTCGCTCCGCCTCTGCCAGTTCAATGTTTTCATTGGTGAACGTGATCCGGGACCTTCCAGGGCCTGCCAATCCAGATGTAGGAGAAATATGGTCAGGCGCGTGCCGCAAGAACAGAGTGGACGGAGAGTAGGAGAGACCGAAAAGGCTGGGGGTGGGAATAGCGGATTTGAAGCACTTTTTGGCCTACCGTGGCAAACAGAGTGCCTCCGAACTCAGGCGTACTGCCCGCCGCCCCGAGCCCTGCGAGGGCCGATAGCGAGGGTGTGGCCCTTATCTGCACCCAGCGGAGCGCCGGCGGGGTACGGTCTTAGGACCTCGACCTCCTTCTGCCTCATTTTTTCTCCTCTCTTGTGGGTGAGTCCTGGCCGCTGGACGGGGACCTCACTGTTCCACCAGCCCATCTGTGCACACTTAGTTTCCCTTAAAGCAGTGAGTGACCGGGGATAGAACGCAAAACCGGCGGGGCTTCTGGAGCGCAGGGTGTCCCCGGTCTGCCTGTCCATATCGCCCCCTTTCCCCCAGGTTTCCCCATGGGCCGGACCGTGGTCGTGTTGGGCGGAGGCATCAGCGGCTTGGCCGCCAGTTACCACCTGAGCCGGGCCCCGTGTCCCCCTAAGGTGAGTGCTCCACCTGTGTCAGAGGGAGCTTCATTTAATGCTCTTTTCCTATTTCCATCAAAAGTTAGATGGATCCTGGCCCTCTGAATGTGCCTCTTCCCCTCCCCTCCTGACCTATCCCCGGCGGCTACAGGCGGTGCTTCAGTGTCGCTCCCTCTTGTCGCCAGGTGGTCCTGGTGGAGGGCAGTGAGCGTCTGGGAGGCTGGATTCGCTCTGTTCGAGGCCCGAATGGTGCTATCTTTGAGCTTGGACCTCGGGGAATTAGGCCAGCGGGAGCCCTAGGGGCCCGGACCTTGCTCCTGGTGAGAGGCTTGTGGGATGTCTAGGAGAGAGGTTGTGGAGGGGGCTTCCATTGGGGAATAGAGTTTAGAGGGGGAAGTATGTTTGGTGGGTCAGACCTTCCCTTAGTTTCTCCTCTTCTGAGGGCCTGTGGAGAGCAGGTTTCTGAGCTTGGCTTGGATTCAGAAGTGCTGCCTGTCCGGGGAGACCACCCAGCTGCCCAGAACAGGTTCCTCTACGTGGGCGGTGCCCTGCATGCCCTGCCCACTGGCCTCAGGTAACACCAGCACCTCCGCTGCTTTTACTGTGCCCTCATCCTCATATGCTTCCATTTCTTTCTCTTTTTTTTTTTTTTTTTTTGAGACGGAGTATCGCTGTCGCCCAGGATGGAGTGCAATGGTGCGATCTTGGCTCACTGCAACCTCCACCTTTCGGGCTCAAGCGATTCTCCTGCTTCAGCCTTCCGAGTAGCTGGAACTACAGGTGCCCACCACCACGTCCGGCTATTTTTTGTATTTTTAGTAGAGATGGGGTTTCACCATATTGGCCAGGCTGGTCTCGAACTCCTGACCTTGTGATCCGCCTGCCTCGGCCTCCCAAAGTGCTGGGATTACAGACGTGAGCCACCGTGCCTGACCTGCCTTCCATTTCTTCATCTCCCTGTCAGCCTTCCCAGCAAAAGGAAGCCAAATGAGTGGAAATGACCCCAGCGCCTGAAGCTGGGGAGGTATGTCAGGAGCTTCCCCCTCACTAAGTCTTTCTCCATGCAGGGGGCTACTCCGCCCTTCACCCCCCTTCTCCAAACCTCTGTTTTGGGCTGGGCTGAGGGAGCTGACCAAGCCCCGGGGCAAAGAGCCTGATGAGACCGTGCACAGTTTTGCCCAGCGCCGCCTTGGACCTGAGGTGACACTTGCCCAGAGGCCCCAAGCATCTTCCCTCCTAAACCAGCTGCAGAGCTCCCTGTTCAAATCTACCACGTAGGGGCTCTTCTGTATCATTTGGAGATGCCCTCTTCTCTTCCTATCCCACCCCCTCATAATTCCCAAAACTCATTATTGGGAGTGAAGGCCTTCACTTCCATCCTTCTGTCATAGTGGGAATGTCTCCCAAACCAAACCCTATCCCACCCCCATTCCCTACCAAATACGGGCTGTGGAAATCAGTCAGTGTAGATTATTCTTTGGCTCCTTAGTCCCAGTCTCACCCTTAAGGTGGCGTCTCTAGCCATGGACAGTCTCTGCCGTGGAGTGTTTGCAGGCAACAGCCGTGAGCTCAGCATCAGGTCCTGTTTTCCCAGTCTCTTCCAAGCTGAGCAAACCCATCGTTCCGTATTACTGGGCCTGCTGCTGGGGGCAGGTGAGGGGGGATTGATTCAAAGGGTGAAGATATTAAGGACTGCCAAAGTGAGGGAGTGGGGACAAAGGGTGCTATTCAATGATTCTTTTTTTCTTTTTTGAGACAGAGTCTTGCTCTGCCACCTAGGCTGGAGTGCAGTGGTGCAATCTCAGATTGGCTCATTGCAACCTCTGTGTCCCAGGCTCAAGCAGTTCTCCTGCCTCAGCCTCTTAAGTAGTTGGGATTACAAACATGTGCCACCACTCCCAGCTAATCTTTGTATTTTTTTTGGTAGAGACAAAGTTTCACTATGTTGGCCAGGCTGGTCTCAAACTCCTGACCTCAAGTGATCCACCCGCCTCCGCCTCCTAAAGTGCTGGGATTACAAGTGTGAGCCACTGCATCCAGCCTCAATGATTCTTCTTTGCTTCCTCTGCAGGGCGGACCCCACAGCCAGACTCAGCACTCATTCGCCAGGCCTTGGCTGAGCGCTGGAGCCAGTGGTCACTTCGTGGAGGTCTAGAGATGCTGCCTCAGGCCCTTGAAACCCACCTAACTAGTAGGGGGGTCAGTGTTCTCAGAGGTCAGCCAGTCTGTGGGCTCAGCCTCCAGGCAGAAGGGCGCTGGAAGGTAGGGGAACCCCTGGAGTGTAATGAACCTGTTAGTGTGTCCATCTTTATCCAAGTGGTTTAACTAGGCCAGGGCCAATAGGACTGGAGTTCCTCGTTGTTTTCGTGCCTTAGAAGCTACTTAGACATGGGCTACCCCATAATCCTAGGCCCTATTTGTGAACCTTCCTCAAAGAGCCTATGCAAGTCTGTGGATAGAAGTAGTACTTATAAGTGGCTTAGAGATAGGGGAAAGAACCCAGCTTCGCTGAACATTTCAGAACAGCCACACTGGCCTGTCTCGTCCACTTCCTGGAGTACACAGAGAAATGATTTTTTTTGTGAAGTCTACACAGTTACCCATTCTCTTCATCCTGGGTCAGTACAGTCTCCCCAGCCACATGGGTGCCTGGGAAACTGAGAGTGAAGCACCAGAAGTCTCTTTTCACTAATCAGATTCTCATTTTCTGGGTCTTTCAAATGTTTTCATGCTCTTAGGTATCTCTAAGGGACAGCAGTCTGGAGGCTGACCACGTTATTAGTGCCATTCCAGCTTCAGGTAATGGGATAGCCACCTTCCCCTTCCCCAACCCCTACCAGTGAGAGGCAAAAGCTGTACCTTCCTGGGTCAGCAGGACCACACCATGCCCCTGAACTGGTCATCTCTATGGGAGTCTAATCCCAAAGAGGACTGACAACTGTAATGGGAATGCCTCCTGAGTCAGGCCTCTGCCTGATCTCTAGTGCTTAGCGAGCTGCTCCCTGCTGAGGCTGCACCTCTGGCTCGTGCCCTGAGTGCCATCACTGCGGTGTCTGTAGCTGTGGTGAATCTGCAGTACCAAGGAGCCCATCTGCCTGTCCAGGTATGATAAAGGGATGGAGAGGCCGGGCATGGTGGCTCACACTTGTAATCCCAGCATTTTGGGAGGCCAAAGTGGGTGGATAAGGAGGTCAGGAGTTTGAGACCAGCCTAGCCAACATGGTGAAACTCCATCTCTATGAAAAATACAAAAATTAGCCAGGTGTGGTGGCTCATGCCTGTAATCCCAGCTACTTGGGTGGCTGAGGCAGGAGAATCACTTGAACCCAGGAGGTGGAGGTTACAGTGAGCTGAGATCTCGCCATTACACTCCAGCCTGGGTGACAGAGCGGGACTCTGTCCCCCGTCAAAAAAAATGGGAAGGAGAGACAGGCTTAACTAGAGCCCTTTCCTTCTGACGCGTGAATGTCCTTCTCTCCAGGGATTTGGACACTTGGTGCCATCTTCAGAAGATCCAGGCGTCCTGGGAATCGTGTATGACTCAGTTGCTTTCCCTGAGCAGGATGGGAGCCCCCCTGGCCTCAGAGTGACTGTGAGAGGAGGAAACTTTGCCTAGTGGCATTTCCAGAGGGCTCCTCTGTGCTCCAGTGTAGGCAAGGCCAGACTGATCAGTGCTATATTCCCTCCCTAGGTGATGCTGGGAGGTTCCTGGTTACAGACACTGGAGGCGAGTGGCTGTGTCTTATCTCAGGAGCTGTTTCAACAGCGGGCCCAGGAAGCAGCTGCCACACAATTAGGACTGAAGGAGCTGCCAAGTCACTGCTTGGTCCATCTACACAAGGTAAGTTGGGATAAACTTCCCTCAGCTCTCCACTGAAGGCCTTGAAGACAGGGACTGGAACATTTGTCACTGTATGTCAGCCAAGGCCTAGGACATCAATAATAAACTTTTCCCTGCATCCTCTCCTCTCTTCTCAGAACTGCATCCCCCAGTATACACTAGGTCACTGGCAAAAACTAGGTAAGTTGGGAAAACAGCTGGGCTGAGGAGGGCCAAGGGCATCAGACCCCCAGCTATAACATTCCTTTCATCCTTTCCTTCTAGAGTCAGCTAGGCAATTCCTGGCTGCTCACAGGTTGCCCCTGACTCTGGCTGGAGCCTCCTATGAGGGGGTTGCTGTTAATGACTGTATAGAGAGTGGGCGCCAGGCAGCAGTCAGTGTCTTGGGCACAGAACCTAACGGCTGATCCCCAACTGCCACTCATGAAAATAAAAATTGCTGGAGCTTGGCTTGGTCTGGCTGTTCTATCACCTATAGGCATAAGAATGCGGGGGAGCAAAGAGGCAAAGTGTGCCTGGGATGCAGAAAGTAAGAGCAGATGCAAGACAAAGTCCTTTATTAGAAAATATATCAAAATCCCAGCCCTCTGAGCCAGGACCAGAAGGGGGAGCTATTCCAGCATGGGCAGAAAATGCCCGGGGAGGGGCTTCCTTCACCAAACAACTTCCCGGGAACCATAAATAGAATAAATATTCACAGAGGTCCCAGGAGAAGCCAGATCACTCTTCTCTTTATGGAAGAGGAAGGGGCTTGGGGTCCAGCCCTGCTCCTACCCTAGCGGCAGGGACTCCCAGGAATCGTCACATAAAATCATGACATCAAGGATTCACAGTCATAACCCCCACAGGAGACCCTAGAGAGAGGGACCCCTCAGGTCTACGGGAGCCCAGCTCCAGTCCAGCAGTGAGGAGAGGCCCCTTCCCCCTAGCACGGCACCAGAGTTCAGTTCCCCCGCATCCCTCTGAGAACAGTGAGGAGCTGAGGGTGGGGAGAATACAACCCCATGAATTCGGTTTCATGATTAAGGTAGGCAGGAAGGAGGAGTCAGTGTGAACCTCGGAGGGCTGTGTGGTTGGCAGTAGGTGGAGGCCCAGGCCTGGATGGGGGCCGGCGTTGCAGCATCTCTTGACGGAAGGCTTGGGAGGAACCAGGTGGGTAACGGGGCCCAGAAGGAGCCCGAGGACCCCGAGGGTCAGTCCCAATGTCTGCTGTGATGTTGGTATAAAGAGGCCCCAGCTCTCGAGCCAGCAACTGGTATGTCAGTGAGTTCATCCCATCTTGCGTCCAGGAATTCTGGGTACGGACCAGGAGGTCAAATCTGAGGGTTAGAGGTTGGACACTAAGACCCAGAAAAGAACAGCCAGAAATCTAGGGACCTTTAGGAGTTTCCTGGCTAGGGGTACTGAACCCTAAGGATTCAGTAACAATTCCCAGGCAGTCCTTCCTTCTTCCTACCTGTGGGGATTTTCCTCGTTGCCCTTATCTCCTCGGTGCTTCACCATCTTATAGTGTCCTACAGATGTGGGGGGCCGAGAGATCTTCATCCCAGCCAGGCGCACCCTATGGGAAAAGTGAGGGGATCATGGGGGATCCAGAGTAGACGAAAGCAAGGAAGGGATTAAATGTTTCTGTACATAAAAAAACAACTATTACTCAGTAGGCAAAAAAACAAACAAACAAAAAAACCCCCGAAGTCAAACAGAAAGAAGAAAATGGCTGAAGAGAATATAAAAGCTGGATGTATCCAAATCCTCAGGGCCCAGTGCCAGTCTCCCTAGGGCCTTCAAACAGTTGGCAAAGGTAGGTTTGTACCTACTCCCTTGGCTTCCTAAAGGGCTCCTAGGAGCTGCCCTTGCAGTCTAGGAAGGACGCTGAGAGAGACCATTCTGTTAAAAGGATAAGAAAAGCCTGGGAGTTGCAGACCCAAGCTCAGCAATTCTTAGAATAGTGACTGAGCTACCCCAGCTTCTCTCCCACATCCCCCATGTCAAGAAAAAGGTAGGCCAGGTGCAGTGGCTCACACCTGCAATCCTAGCACTTTTGGATGCTGAGGCAGAAGGATCACTTTAGGCCAGGAGTTCAAGACCAGCCTGGGAAAATAACGAGACGTTGTCTCTAGGGGAAAAAAAAAACAACGAACGAAAGAAAGAAAAGAAAAGGATAGAGCCAGGTAATCAGAACCTTGAAAGAAACAAACTTCAAGGCCGGGCGCGGTGGCTCAAGCCTGTAATCCCAGCACTTTGGGAGGCCGAGACGGGCGGATCACGAGGTCAGGAGATCGAGACCATCCTGGTTAACACGGTGAAACCCCATCTCTACTAAAAAAAAATACAAAAAAAACTAGCCAGGCGAGGTGGCGGGCGCCTGTAGTCCCAACTACTCGGGAGGCTGAGGCAGGAGAATGGTGTAAACCCGGGAGGCGGAGCTTGCAGTGAGCTGAGATCCGGCCACTGCACTCCAGCCTGGGCGACAGAGCGAGACTCCGTCTCAAAAAAAAAAAAAAGAAACAAACTTCACATGTGACACACAGAAGCATGGAGTGCAGATGGCCTGGGAAGGAACTAGAAGCATACTTATGTATATTTACAATTCACTGGGTATTTCACACACATACAGAGGATGAAAATTCAGAGATGTCATCACAGAGGACACAGGGGGAACGGAGGCAATTGGTCCTGCATACCAAGCCCTAATATTCATACCACAGACATGAAATTGGGTCAGCTGAGGCTGAAGGTCAGAATGTTTCACATGCTAAAAATGAGTTGGCCCTGTGCCAGTGGCACAGGCCTCTTACAAAGTGATTCTGGGAACATAGAGCAGAGCCCCTCTGTCTTAACCCCATAGGAAGTGGTCTGGCTGGAACCCTAGCAGAAGGCAAGACTAAACTGTCTCTGGGCCCCTTTCCAGTTCTGGAATCCAGCGATACTATTTCCTATTGATCTTATGTCCTCTCCCAAGAACAAACTAACCAGGAGACTGAAGGAACAAACTAACCAGAAGATACAATGAGCAGCAGCATGCAAGCCTGCTCTGGGTATCCTAAAAAGACTAAGGGAAAGGAATGGGCTCAGTGCAGGACCAGGGAGCTAAAGGTTAGTGTTGAAGGGATATGGCCAAAGGTGGTCTTAGAGGACAGGGATCCAGACTGGGGTCAGGAAGGAAGAAGTGGCAGGAAGTCTGACCTGGTAGCAATGTCATCATCCTCACCACCCCAGCCCCAGTATTCATTGGGGAAGCCATTCATCTTCAGGTACTGGTCAGGAGTAAGCGCCGAGACTCCTCCGAAGTACTGGGGGTATGGGAGGCTAGGGAGAGAAAGATCCTTGCATGCCCCAAGTCTTCTGGGGAGACATCCCCAACCACAATCCCCTTGACTCTCCTCCTTCCACAGGATGGTGGGCTTCCCTGTTTCCCAGTACCCTTCCATGCTCTCTACCTGTATCCAAACTTGTTCATAGCAACAGCAACATGGCGGGGTCCCCGGGGGTCACACACATACAGATTGTGGTCATTTTCTGGCAAGAGGTCCACATCATGCAAGAACAGGCAGTCCCACTCTTCATCACGCAGGGCCTCTCGCACCCCAACATTGAGCAGTTTTGCCCTGTTAAATGTTCCATTTCCAGCCTGGAAGATAATGGAGGGGGACCAGACTATGTCTGTAGTGGCATAAAGAAGACGGGGCTAAAGAACAAAAGTGAAGGCCAGGCACAGTGGCTCATGCCTGTAATCCCAGCACTTTGGGAGGCCAAGGTAGGCGGATCACAAGGTCAGGAGATTGAGACCACCCTGGCTAACACGGTGAAACCCCATCTCTACTAAAAATACAAAAAATTAGCTGGGCGTGATGGTGCTCGCTGTAGTCCCAGCTACTTGGGAGGCTGAGGCAGGAGAATGGTGTAAAACCCGGGAGGCGGAGCCTGCAGTGAGCCGAGATCGTGCCACTACACTCCAGCCTGCGCGACAGAGTAAGATCTCAAAAAAAAAAAAAAAAAGAATAAAAGTGAAAAGAGGGAAATCAAAGTGGGGTGGAGGGCAAGGAGAATGAAAAAGAAAGACTATCTTTTTCATTTTTCCACCTAGTCATTTGACAAATCTTGCTTGTGTATTGATATGGGCCTGATACTTAGATGCTGCTGTCTAACATTTAATCCTGACAATCGGCAACCAACAATGGTGTGGTGTGGAACAGGTGGTATATTAGTTATCTTTTGCTCTTTTCTCATGTTAGATGTTTAAGTATCTTGCTCAGAGTCATACATGTTAACAAGTGACGGAACTGGAATTTTAGCCCTATCATGTCCAATTCCAACTCTGCACAAGCCATTCAATAAAGGAAAAATCACAGAAGAGTGTAGGACAGTGGGAATAACCTAAGCAGATTAAGGGGAAGTATGGGACTAACAAATTTGGAAGAACAGTGCCAGGTGCTTCTCCACACTCTAACAGTCTGGCCCTCTTAAAATTATTCTAGGGACCCATTAGATGAAAATGGAGTGGCATGTGCTTGAGGCTTCCTTAGAAGAAAGAAAGTCAAAAAGGTGGAGATTGGGGTACCTGGTGGATGACATAGATGCCATAAGCAAGCTGCTGGCGCTGCAAGAAGGGGTGCAGGTGGTAGAGCAACAGGCGCAGGTGGTGCTCCCGGGCACGATGAGGCACAATGATGGCTGTTCGGGAGCGGGGCTCACAACCTGCAGGGCGGTACCGGCCCCCTGGTTCTACCCGGGGATTCCGCTCCACAATCTCTGCCAGTGATGGCACTGGGCTAAAGGACACCGACACAGGACCCACTGTTGGGAAGGAATGGCAAGTAGAGGGATCAGAGAGGCAAAGAGAAAAGAATCAAACTAGGGTCTGGGAATACCTCTGGCACTGGCAGTCTGGTTCTGGGGCTTAGTTCTCAGGGCTCACTCAGAAATCTCACATGCCTTGGATTCCCCATCACTGGGACAGCTCTACAAAGGCTGGAAGGTGCAGGATCCTTACCTAGCCTTCTCTTCTTATTTTAGGGTTGCATAACTCTCCTGTCTCACAGGGTTGGAAGCTATAGTTGAAGGCTGGAGAGAACAGGACTTGCAACTAATTAAACCAGGGCTCATCTACAAGGAAAACAATTCCTAGCCTGGGGCAGGAAGAGCCCATAAAGGGGCAAGCAGTAGAAAGTGAAAACCCAATAGTCTAGTCTAAACTCCAAATTCAGAGTCCACTCTATCTCAACCTCAGCCCTCTATCTCAACCTCAGCCTACCTGCAGAGTCCATGATCCTCTTCTAAGTTCCACTTCTGCCACTCCATACCTCCCTATCCCCAAACCTCCCTGTCCCCACACCTTGTCCTTCCTTTCACCACCCCCTTCCTCCTGCACTTACCTAAGAGAGGAGATCGTTCTGGACAGTAGGGCAGACCTTGAGGAGCTGGAGGACCCCCTGGGGCCCCAGGAAGGTGACTGAGGTTACTGTAGACATCACGAGGGTGAGAATAGTCATATGTCGGCCCCTGATCTCGGCCAAATAGGGCACTGAGACTTCGGAAGCCCCCCAGTGACAGGTACATCATGACAGCCAGCTGGGAGCCCACAAGCAGGGCCAGTGTGCAAGGCCGCTCCAGCAGCCTCCGCAACATCCTGGGGGTGAGATCTAGGGAGGGAGAGGGGAATTCTGGGGCTAGGCAGGAAGAGAGCAAGCCAGCAGAGAGGTCAGTAGGTAGGGTTGAAGGTGGTGCCAGGAGTAAAGAGGAAAAAGAGGCAGAGAACAAAGTCACAGAAGGGAGCACACAGGTGCACAGTCACGCAAGGAAACAAAATAGAATGTAACCACCAGTAACCCTACCACCTGTCACTTCAGCCCAAGTTTCACTCTCCTCTACCTCCCCCGAAACCACTCCCACCATCTACTGTCAGTCCTCACCCCCAAAAATGTTTACATCATTCAAATCTCATGTTCATTTCAGAAGGGTCTCTAGAGACCCCTCTTCCAATTTTAGAGGGGAAGAGATAGACTCACGTAGGTTCAAGCTGTCTTCTTACGGATCATGGGGGCTCCAGGGGGTCCCGGGGGGACAGAGATGTGAGGCATTATCTAAAATTGGAAATGTCACAGAGGGCAGAGAATGGCTCCATCCAGCACTCCAGCAGCGAATCTGGGACCAGCTGGAACAGAAGTGGTAAAGGATAACTAGCTACCTGCACCACCAGAGATCAGGATCAGGGTGAAGCTGGTTTCCCAGCAGGGGAAGTGAAGGAAAGTGGTTGGAAAGGAAGAGGAGGAGAAAGAGATGGTAGGTCCCTCGCCTCTCTCCCGTGCTACCCTGGAGTGATAAGTGTCAGGTTCATACTTAACCACCCCCGTACCCCTACCCCAACAGGACAGATTGGGGAGTGGGGACAGGGCAGCTAATGGAAACATTGTTTTCCCCCAGGCCAAGAACCTGTTCAAGTGGCAACAGAGTCATGACAGGACCGTGGAGTGACCTAAGGAGTACTCAGGGCGAAGTAGGAAACAGGCTCCTTCTGTTCTTCATGTGCCTAGGTGCGAACTCCTCAGGTGCAGGGACCGTGACCACCTGGGGGCTGTAAGTGAACAGCCCCGAAGCTCGGCGGAAAGTAGGGTGGGGGTGGCGTCCTCCACCTTTTTTACCTTTCCCCTGTTCTAGCGGGGGTGGGGAGGAGGGTTACAGCTGAAGAGAAGGGGTGAGGGAGAGCAGGGGCAGAGACAGTCAGGGGTGGCTGGAAGGGCTCACCTGAAGGGGCGTGGTCCGCGCTGTACAGGGGGTTAAAACCCAGCTCTTTCGGAGCACGCCCATCCTATCCCAGTCTCTTGCTTTTGCCCTACCTTGCAACGTGAGCCCTCCCGGCCCCCGTCCATACTTCCACCTAGGACCCCGTCCCTGCTCAGGCTCGTCTCCAGGTGTTACCCAAAGCTTCTCACTCTCTCGAATGCCCAAACCTTTATCCCAGGCCTCCCCGCCCACGCGTCCCCAGCGAACATACCTGGTCTTTTGCTGCCTGTCGTCACCGCCACCCCAACAGCCGGGCAGGCATTGCTGTCGCCATCTTGGAAGCGGGCGCTGCGGGGGCGGGGCCTCGCGTCACGGGGCGGGGCCTCGGGGCTGAGCCACCCGGGCTGACTAGGCACCCGGTCCGAGACACCGTGTGGTCCGCGGCTTGTGCGGGAGCTGCGCCCTAGCCTACCCGCCTCGAACGCGTTGCAGGCGACGCTTTGGGAAGCGGGTGCGAGGGCTCAACTCCACTACGCAGACTGCTAGTGGGATTTCATTTCCTGCCCCTCAGATTTGTAAAAGCAGAACCTCAAGCCATTCATTTTCCTCTGGGCCGAGACAGACCAAGAGGCTAGTGAGCCGGTTTCTGGTGCTCCGCTGACCTCGTTATCACCCGGGGGTTGGCTGAGCCCTCTCCCAGTGTGTCAGTGGCACCCCCTGCAGCCTACTGCCACTTACTATCAATAGTTCCTCACGCAGGCTACAGCGTCGCGGACCGCTCTAGAGCATTTTTGTATTCCCATGGTATCCCGCAGGCCTGGAAATAAAAAACGATTAGTTAATAAAACAATGAAACATTGAATGTGGAGGGAAAGGCAGCGTCTTCTTTAAAGTAAAATTGTGTTTCCTCAGATATTAGAGTAAAATGGATGCTCCGTTAACATGTAATATGTTTACGACAGACACTACCCCTAGCATACTGTGTTCCTTAGAAGCAGATGTTCACGCTGAAGAAACAGAGACTTGAATAACTCACAGAATCTGCCCCAAAAGCCCATGGTCTTGTGTATCTTGTATGGAAGGAGGGATGTAAACAATATAAGGTGATAAATATGCTGGCCTAGAAGTGGCAACTCATTCATACGTGGAGATTCTAGAAAGGCTTCCTGGAAGTGACAGCTAATGGGAAACCTGAAGGACTTGTCTATAGCATATCCTTCTGCTTTAAAGGTTCTGTTTTCATGCGAGTTATTTTACAATTCATGTAGGTAACTGATCTGTATGCAAATTCTGTCCTGTCTGGTAGAGGTTCAATTAACCTGCTATTCCCCACACTGTGCGGAAAAAAAGCAGTTTTGGCCTCCATTTTCATGTTCATTTCTGTTTTCCTGATCCATAAATATGTCCGTTGTCTAGATTTTCTCTTGTATTGATTATAACATCTGCTAGTTTCTTCATGAGTTAAGTGAAATCAACACATGTTCATTTTTTTCTTAATTTCTTTTTTCTTTTCTTTTTTTTTTTTTTTGAGACGGAGTTTCGCTCTTGGTTCCCAGGCTGGAGTGCAATGGTGCAATCTCAGCTCACTGCAACCTCTGCCTCAGCCTTCCTGAGTAGCTGGCATTACAGGCATGCGCCACCATGCCCGGCTCATTTTGTATGTTTAGTAGAGACAGGGTTTCTCCATGTTAGTCAGGCTGCTCTCGAACTCCCGACCTCAGGTGATCCACCTGCCTCAGCCTCCAAAAGTGCTGGGATTACAGACGTGAGCCACCACGCCTGGCCTTTTTCTTTATTATTATTTTTTAATTTAAAAATTTGTAGGCCGGGCGCGGTGGCTCAAGCCTGTAATCCCAGCACTTTGGGAGGCCGAGGTGGGCGGATCACGAGGTCAGGAGATCGAGACCATCCTGGCTAACCCAGTGAAACCCCGTCTCTACTAAAAAATACAAAAAAAAAAAAAAAACTAGCCGGGCGAGGTGGCGGGGCGCCTGTAGTCCCAGCTGCTCGGGAGGCTGAGGCAGGAGAATGGCGTGAACCCGGGAGGCGGAGCTTGCAGTGAGCTGAGATCCAGCCACTGCACTCCAGCCTGGGCGACAGAGCGAGACTCCGTCTCAAAAAAAAAAAATTTGTGACACGGTTTCACTCTGTCACCCAGGCTGGAGTGCAGTGCCAAGATCACAGCTCACTGCAGCCTCAACCTCCTAGGCTCAAGGGATCCTCCCACCTTAGCCCAGCGAGTAGCTGGGACAACAGCACATCCAGCTAATTGTATTTTTTGAAGACACAGAGTTCTGCCATGTTGTCCTGGTTGGTCTCCATCTCCTGGGCTGAAACTATCTGCGCGCCTTGGCTTCCGCTGGGATTACAGGCGTCAGCCACAGCATCAGGCCTCTTAATTTTGTTTCTCTTTTTCCTTCCTTCCCTCCTTCCTTCCTTCTTTCCTCCCTTCCCTTCCCTTCCTTCCTTTTCTTCCTTTCTTCCTTTCCTTCCCCCCCACCTTTTTTTTTTCCCCAAATACCTAGTCTTCAAGGAGATTTTTTTTTTTTTGGAGGCGGAGTCTCGCTCTGTTGCCCAGGCTGGAGTACAGTGGTGCGATCTCAGCTCACTGCAACCTCCGCCTCCTGGGTTCAAGCGATTCTCCTGCCTCAGCCTTCAGAGTAGTTGGGATTAAAGGTGCCCACCACCAAGCCCGGCTTATTTTTGTATTTTTAGTGGAGACAGGATTTCACCATCTTGGCCAGGCTGGTCTTGAACTCCTGACCTCGTGATCCACCCACCTTGCCTCCCAAAGTGCTGGGATTATAGGCATGAGCCACTGCACCTGGCCTATGTGTTCATTTTTATGTTGGTTTTTTTTTTTTTTTTTTTTTTTTGAGACGGAGTCTCGCTCTGTCTCCCAGGCTGGAGTACAGTGGCCGGATCTCAGCTCACTGCAAGCTCTGTCTCCCAGGTTTATGCCATTCTCCTGCCTCAGCCTCCCGAGTAGCTGGGACTACAGGCGGCCGCCACCTCGCCCGGCTAGTTTTTTTGTATTTTGTAGTAGAGACGGGGTTTCACCGTGTTAGCCAGGATGGTCTCGATCTCCTGACCTCGTGATCCGCCCGTCTCGGCCTCCCAAAGTGCTGGGATTACAGGCTTGAGCCACCGCGCCCGGCTTTATGTTGATATTGACAAAGACCCTCTCCTTAACCAAACTTTCAACAGGCTCCTCTGAGACCTCTTTTTGGCTAGGTCTTGTCCTTTCACCCTGTCTTGGGCCTGGCTAGCCAGTTATAGGAAGAATCCTGCCAAGTCAGTTTAGGGATAATTCCCTGCCCACTTCTCCACCCTTTATATCTGATCTATCTGATCACCCTCACCTCCCTTCAGGAAAGATCCTGTTAGGTCAGTTTAGCAAGAATCCTCCCAGCCTTAATGTAATTTTCCTTCCATCCACTGACTCTGATTCTGCTCATTGACTATTGCAATAGTCTTCCTTACTGTTTTATCAAGTGTCAGAATAATTTTTTCTTTAACAGTTTAAGGGTCATAATTTTACCTTTTTCTGAAAATTGCTTTTTTTTTTTTTTTTTTGAGACAGAGTTTTGCTGTTGTTGCCCAGGCTGGAGTGCGATGGCACCATCTCGGCTCACCGCAACTTCCACCTCCCAGGTTCAACCGATTCTCCTGCCTCAGCCTCCCGAGTAGCTGGGATTACAGGCATGCACCACCACACCCAGCTAGAAAATTAACTTTTAACAGATGGACAGTGTTCCAGGCAGAGGAAATCATAAGGACAAAGGTCTGGAAATGAGGAAGATATTAGGGAGTTGGGGAAATTAAAACTGGGCCCGCAAGGCTGGACAGTAGAGTGAAGGGAATGAGATGTGAGACTGGAGAGGTAAGCAGATACCAAATAATGAAGGACTCCACAAACCACATTAAAAGAGTTTGGGTCTTATCCACAGGGCAAGAAGAAGGCATTAAAGTGCTGTAAATAGAGAGTGCTATGATCAGAACTTTAGGAAATGTGGAGCGCTAATTGAAGTAGTCAAGACCAGAGGCAGGGAGACTATTTAGAAAGTTACTGCAGAAATCCAGGAATAAGATGAAGCTCATGCAGAATAGGTAATAACCGAGGGACTGGAGGGAAGAAAGTACCTTTGAGAACTTTCAGGAGGCAAGCAGGACTTGAAGATTGACTGGATGTGCCAAGTTATGGAATTGGACTCCAAGAGGACACCCAGATTTCTAATTTGGACCACTGGGTGGTGCCATTTAATGAGAAACAAAACTTAGGAAGAAGCACATTTTGGGGAAGGGGTAGAGATGACAAACTTTAGACTTAATGAGTTTGAGGTGCCTGTGAAGGCTCAAAATGAGATAATGCTGGGTTTAAATACAATACCAACTTTGAAACCCATTGGCTGTGTACGGAGCAATACACTCTCTGGATTTCATCTGTAAAATGAACTCTAGTCTTAAGGGGTTTTGTGATCATTAGTGAGAACTATGGAAAACTTTTGAGCACAAATAGAAGCCGAGACAAAGCCTTGATTTTTTTTTTTTTTTATAAATTTTTTTTTAAAGAGACAGTCTCACTATGTTGCCCAGGCTGGTCTCAAACTCCTGGGTTCAAGTGATCCTCCTGCCGTGGCCTCCCAAACTTGATTTTTTGTTTGTTTGTTTTACTTCTATTTATTATTATTATTTTTAGCTTCTGATATAGTATAACTCAAAAAGCCTTGATTTTTTAAGGATCTCATGTTTAGTGGAAAAGATAGACTTAAACAGATCATTGAAATGTAGTTCTTGGCCTGGCATCATGGCTCACGCCTGTAATCCCAACACTTTGGGAGGCTGAGTTAGGTGTATCAGTTGAGTTCAAGAGTTTGAGACCAGCCTGGGCAATATGGCAAAATTTCCTTTCTATGAAAAATACAAAAATTAGCTGGGCATGGTGGCTCACGGCTGTAGTTCTAGCTACTCACGGGGCTGAGGTGGAAGAATCACTTGAACCCAGGAGTTCAAGGCTGCAGCGAGCTGTGATTGCACCACTGCACTACTCCAGCCTGAGTGATAGAGCAAGACCCTGTATCAAAGAAAAAAGAGAGAAAGAGAGCAAATGTGGTTCTCCTAGAGGACCCTTCCTTTGAACTTCTGCTCCTCCATTGCATCCTGTCTTACAGGACTGACCCTCACTTTCTTTTTTTTTTTTTTTTTTTTTGAGACGGAGTCTCGCTCTGTCGCCCAGGCTGGAGTGCAGTGGCGCGATCTCTGCTCACTGCAAGCTCCGCCGCCTCCCAGGTTCACGCCATTCTCCTGCCTCAGCCTCCCTAGAAGCTGGGACTACAGGCGCCCGCCACCACGCCCGGCCAATTTTTTTGTATTTTCAGTAGAGACGGGGTTTCACCGCGTTCGCCAGGATGGTCTCCATCTCCTGACCTCGTGATCCGCCCGCCTCAGCCTCCCAAAGTGCTGGGATTACAGGTGTGAGCCACCATGCCTGGCCTTTTTTTTTTTTTTTTTTTTTTTTTTTTTGAGACAGAGTTTCTCTCTTGTTGCCCAGGCTGGAGTGCAATGGTGTGATCTCCAGCTCACTGCACCTCTGCCTCCCGGGTTCAAGTGATTCTCCCGCCTCAGCCTCCCAAGTAGCTGGGATTACAGGCATGCGCTACCATGCCTGGCTAATTTTGTATTTTTAGTAGAGACAGGGTTTCTCCATGTTGGTCAGAATGGTCTCAAACTCCCAACCTCAGATGATCTGCCCACCTCGGCCTCCCAAAGTGCTGGGATTACAGGCGTGAGCCACCACACCCAGCCTTCACTTTCTATCCCCTTCTCTATCTAACCATTTTCTTCTTTTTTTAGAGTCAGAGACTCA